GGGTATGAGTGATCGAAGCAGAATAACCCATATTCACACCCACCCCATCCACACCCTCACACCACTCTATGCTTCTCATTGAATTCTGTCCACTGCTGTGTATGATTGAGTAAGATAATGATGGTGATTAAAAATGGCTTGGGTGTGGGTGTATATGTGGGGTCTAGGTATAAACCATAGAGATACTTCCAGCCACATCCCACCGCATCCACGCCCGTACTCTGAACATGACATAGCCACAGTTTTACATTCTCAATTCAAACAATTAGATCCTTCCAGTAAACGAGTTTGACGACACATCCATGAAGTAGTCAAAAATGAAATTGAAAATGATCGAACAAGATCTTCACCATCACCAGCAGCAACATCCCTAACAACATCATCATTGAATTCTCCTGATAAAGGTGATTTATTCTTTTCGTTGTATGATAAAAACAAAAGACAAAAATAAAAAGAAAGATGAATTTAAATTATATTTGGATTTAGATTTACGGTTACAGGAGGGCGAAGATCTGCTCGAATTTTGATTGCCTCAACATGAAAATTATCCACAACTGTTTGAATTGGCAAAATGAATTTTGATCATTCCCACATCAAATACACGTGCTGAACGAATGTTTTTGGTCTCAGGTGCAACAGTAACTGAGAAAAGAACAATAATAGCAATCGATAAAATAGACAAAATTATGTTTTTAAATAAGAATTTATCATTTTTCAAATCACTGTGTACGTCAAATCAGAAAGCATAGCTACAGAAGATTTCTTCTTCATCGTTTATTTCGAGGGTGTGTGAAGAGAGGACACACCAACAGTGAGGCCCACACCCATACCCACCCACCCACACCCGCACCCATTTGATTTGGGTTAGAGTAAAGATATTTAAATTTCTTATCGTCGTGTTATTTATGACCCATCCTGTGTTTATAAATAAAGCATAGTCAATAAGCGTTCTCGAGTGTTACTCGATCAAGTTTTTTGCAATTACCAACAAATTTCTTACAATTTCAGCTGAAAAAGAGTAGGTTTTTAAAATTAGAAGACGTTGAACGCTGCTGGATTATTGACAGGAAACTGTTTGATCGCTGGCTTGATTGTTATATTGAAGATCGGTATCATTTCTCAAATATTGCAAATAATATTCATAAGCTTTGCTTGAAGGATCATATCGAATCAGTGTAAAATTTTTCATAATATAATTTTGCATAATACCACATTGAATTAATGATTTAAATACGTTCAAAGATTTTATACCAGTATAATTGCCAGCAATCCCAATACCTTTTAGAAAACAGAAGAACATGATTTGAAACCTCGAACGCTAACTTGCTAAGCAATAGAACACTTCAGCAGCAAAATTCTTGTGAACTAGTGCACGTAAACTACGATCGATGCTCAAGGAGCGTGCTCAGTGAAAACTGTTAGGCTTTGCTCACTTTAAGACATGCAGTAGAAGCCAAAGTTCTATGAATTTTGACGCAAGTCGTTCTCAAAAATATTGAACCTCCGAATTTTTATGACTTTTCATAGACTAGCTCTGACAATTATATACATAAAAATTCATTTAAGATTTTAATTACTTTTAACAAGCCTACACTCAAAAAACTCTCCATAGAATAAAAAACATATAATAGGTTTATAAAAGTACAATAATCTATAAATCCCTCAACCGCACATCATAGTTGTCAATGTAATCTTCAATGGTACATCGGTCATTCAGACAAAGGTTCAAATAGTAGATTGAAAATTTTGACGCGTGTCTATAAAGAGTTTGTATATATTCTTACACTTGTATAAATCTATTATGAGTTTTTGATTGTACATAAACTTTCTTGAGTGTATGACAAGTTCAAATTAACAAAAATGTAAGATTCGTTGCTCCAGAAAGTTAAACGAGGCATTCATTCTTACCCAATGATTCGTTATTATAGCCTTTACAATGTGCACCAATATATGTCCACCCTCTGCCCATATAAATTTGTTGTTGATCCTCTTTATCATTACACAGTATAAAATTATAACCAATATCATCCCATCCTCTTTCATCCATATGATAATCTTGAAATATTTTTATTTCTCTAGTACAACTTTGTTGATTTATAATTGGACTTGAAGGTGGTGTGAGTACATCTATATGTTTAAACGGTAATGTCACATTACTACGATTTTTATATGGTCTTGCATTCCAGCTAAATCGACTAAATATAGTGGGACAATCTAAAAGATGTGAACATCAAACATGTCTATTTTGTATTTATTCAATAAAAAATCGAATCTTTTGATTTTTTGCAAAGAATAGTTTACTCTAAATCTATCAAGTTGGATTAATCTATTAACTAAGAAATCAATTTTAAATGCTTTCTCAAGATTTATGAAATATGAAATTAGTAGTTTGACTAGACAACCTGAACTCAAAGTCACTGACTTTAATTTCTAATAAGGAAAGAGTGAATTTTGATTAATTTGTTTAAAAACTGAAATACTTCTGTCGGAGAAGTGAGGAAGAGATCTCATATTCTAGCTTTTTAGAATCTTTTCTGACACGCTTTTTTATTGGTCAGTTTTACCTGATAATGGTGATTCTGTCAGAGGCATTGGCATGTTTGTAGTATTTTGTGTGGAATTCTTTTTAATAACAAAAGTAAAAATGAATGTAAAAGTTAAAGCCAAAAGGATAGCTAACACCAAAACTCCAATGATGACATAAAGACGATGTTTTCGTTGTTTGAATTTTTGATATTCTTCGATATCTTTTATATCATCAGCAGATGATGAAAATGATGATGTTCTCGTTGTATCACTATCTAAAAATTTTTGACAAATAGAATCGAAAGAGTTCATTTTTTGTTTCGAGATATATGAAGAAAAGCATCTCACTTTCTAACTCATTTTTATTATCATTTGGATCTTCACATTCTTCTAATTCAATTTCGATTGAAATCGATGCTGCTGGATCATCAAGATAATTTCGTTTAATTGCTGTTACTTTAAAAACAGAAAATGGAAGAATTAAAATTTCTTTTTCATCTGGTCTTGTTGATAAACTTTGTATATTGATAGCTGTTGAATTTTGTTTTATTAAATATTGACATAAACATGAATATTGTAATGCACAATGATTTTTAGGAGTATATCTCATTTTGGATTGTTGACCTTCACCAGCAAACATTTCAACTACTTCACGATCAATTGATGTTGATAAAAATGAACGATTTAATATATATTGATTTGAGAGATATTGATTTAAATCATTTTGTGTTATTCTCATAC